TACCGATATGGATATGCACCGTGTTTAAAAGTGCTGCAAAAATTAAAAAAGGGGAAAAAGACCAACCCCAAGTGGTTTTATGTCAGGGAAAAGATGTTTAAATTTCCAAATTTTTTCGTTGGTCTGTAGTTTCCCGAATGAAATTATTTCATTTTCAAGGTTTCCCATCGAGCTTAAAAAACCAAAAATGGCCCCTCAAAGATGGGCCGGGCCCAAAAACCCTAAATATTCCCAAAAATATTAATATTTTTCTATATTTTTTTCCCCCTTTTTTATTTTCAAATGATTTTTTTCCCCCGGAAAATATCATTTAAAACGTTTTATACGAAGAGATTTCATTTTATTGCATCAAACAGATTGCTTTTTGTTTTTTTTAATACGCAAATAAGCAAAATAATGCTAAACATATGGGATTTTGCTATGATACTCTTGCCTTAGCTTAAACAGAGAAATGTGTATTACTTATTTTGTTATTCCACTTTTGTAATGTATTTATGAGAGTAATGCTTTAATGCATTCATATCAAATCTTAAGAAATCTTTCTTTGTAATTATGCAGTAATGCATATAAAATGAGAGGCGGTACATTAAAGTAGTTTTTCAATGTAAGGTTGTAACTGGTACTTATTTGTTCTATGAATTATTTCCCCAATTTTTTTGTTTTTGTCAAATTATAGCTTCTTTAGTGCATTCCATATAACTGATTAACACAATAAACCAGGAATATGATAATTTGCTTCTGGTTATTTAATGAATTATTGTTCAAATTGTACCCCACCCACTATGAATAAAAATCTTGAGAAACTCTGACCCCTCGATTATACTGATTATATGGAATGACAATATTTACGTTAGTGAATAAACATAAGGTGATTTTCAAAGTGTGATACTATTACAGGTATCCTGTCAGATCTAAAAATCTGTTAAAAAATGTGTTAAAGCATGATTTTGTTGTAAGTTGACCTAAGGATTTGAAAAGTACAATGTATGCAAAACAACTACTGCTCATGTATTTATATGTTACACACCTTTTATGTCAAATGCAATGTAATTTATTTTTTAAAGTTTCTTAAATTGACAAAATAGTCATTTAAAAAGTTTGATATTTTATCTTCATAGATCATTACTCTGTTGACCTTCGGTTTCATGAAACATGCATAGTAGTCGGATAAAACATATTGTTTATATGAAAATAGTTCAGCTTGGCATTATTATTGTGTTTGTGTTATTTAAATTCCTTCTAATCGACCTTTTTCGAGTTGTGTGGTTCTGGTATTTCTTTTTAAATAGTGTATAATAATCATTTGGTTAAACAGTGTATGATTACCCTTTGGATATGTTACCTACTTTTAAAGATTACATTTTGACCTTTGATCTCATTTTATAAATTCATTTTATTTAGTTTCGCCCATTGTACTCTATTTCTTGTGGATAATATGTTGTATGTCGTGAAATTGCACGAGCATTTTACAAAGAAGATACCATGATCACTTTCGTATGAATACATCTATGGACGTGTCTTCACTTCCTTTAAGTGTACCAGTTTATGTAAAATTGAGAATTCTGCTTAAGCCGGTGCTAGGGGGTGTGGATTGTAACTTGCAATTACCACTACCGTTGTGTTCCTATATGACGACACAGTATAAATAAAATAAATCCCCGCCAAGTAAAATTCTAACAATTGTTACGGTTGCATTAGAAGAAATAAATAAAATACATACATGATCGTGTAAATATGTACAATTAAGGTACAGCCTTATTACCATAACCAAAGTACTCAATGCCTTAAAGGAAGGCAGAGCAACAAGAACATCACTTACCAAGACAGAAGACGAAATTAAAACAATTAAGAACGCACAAAACGTCAACAATGAAAATGTTGCGTACTCGAATCATGATAATTTGTAAAAGTCCCAGCATGAATTTCTGTAAAAAAATCTATATATTTTTTATTTGAAGCGTAAATATGTCTAGAAATGTTAAACAAAATTTAGACGCCGACAGAATTCAAACTAGTAATGTGGCTTACCACAAACCCTAGATGTTAAAATTATAGATATTGTAGATATAAACCTAAATCATTCATTTGACGCGTTCTTTAACGTTTCCAGATATCACTGTGACAACTATTGTGGTATCTTAATGCTCTAATCTGGGTCAGGTTAGGAAACCACCATGGAGAATTTTTTTGTTCATGTGACTGCTTAGTGTATTCATATTGAGGGCATTAACAGATAAATAAATGAAAGATTCAAAACGAAGACATGAAAATTTACCTGTGTATCCCTTTAAATATATCTGAATTACGACGACAGGACATTGTTAAATATTTACGTAATTATCATAGATTTTAGTTACTTTGTTATAGTTAATGATAGAAATATTTAAATTTGAAAACATTTAGAGTTTGTTTTATTTATTTTACGTTCACTTGGATATATTTATTCATGTTAAGGGCGGTAAGTGCTATTTAATGCAACGTATAGCTTCCGGTTGTGAAATAGTGGAAAGTCACTTAACATAAAATCTCTCTAGTAACAAATAAAAGTAAATATAAAGTAAACTAACATGGCATTGGCATTATGAGTGTAAAAATCAGGAAAAGAGAAGACCCTTGAGAGTAAGTTGATAATTCAAACTCAGTTTGATGGGGTCTGTTCATGAGAGACCATATCTCACGTCTCTTAGTACCGACTAAGTAGTATCCAATCCTCAACTATAAAAGTTTTGCAATCAATGATCCCGAAGGACCAAGTCGTCCGGTTAGCTCAATAGGTAGAGCGTTGGACTGTGAATCGGGTAACCCGTGTTTGATACCCGGACGGGACAGGTCAGTTTCGTTGTGATTGATCATGAAATAGTTTCTACGGTTATTTGCACTGTACCACTGCTCTATTATGTACAGAAGTTTCAGTTCCTTGCGAAAGTGAGGGCAACTAGTACTGGTAAACTGCTTGACAGCCTTTCCAGGAACGATTCGGTGGCTGAACTGTGCTGAAGCAGACTCGGTGTTCATGGACGGTACTTACTCTACCCCCCTCAGCACATAGTATTACTATCAAGTACTCGCCAGGGATAAGATTAGCTATTTTCGTCCAATTGAAAGCTCTTCTCAATTCCTCCCATGAAGTTAACACCAAACTTGAAACAAAATGCTCAAAATCATACACAGGAGCTGTCAGTAGGACAGAGTACTCGACAATTCTCAGTGCTTGATAAAATGGAACATAATATTGTAAAAAAGCTTGATACAGTGACCTCCTCTGATTATGATGGTGAGCAAGTGTGCAAGGTCTCAAAGCGATATGTCGATGGAATTTTGAAATTATCTGAGGTGGTAAAGTAAATTCAAAGTTGAAAAAAGGGGCATAATTCTGTCAAAATGCTTGATAGACCTCCTCCAGTGTTCAAGTGGAGGGCATAATGGTAAACAAGTGTGCAAGTTTCAAAGTCATATGCCAATGGACTTTGAGATGGTACACAAACTTTAACGCCGACGCTCGGGCGACTAGGATAGTTGTCCTTATTCGTCAAATAGTTGAGCTAAAATGAAACTGCCCTCATAATATATATATTTTCAATTCACTCAATATATATTTATATTTATATAATATTTTATTCATAATTCAGATCCAGTCTAGCAGAAAATTCTCTTACTGTAAACTGAATATTAACCTACCCATTTTAAATGTTCTAGCAAATTATATTTTACATTTTAATGTAAATATTATATCCGTCATCAATAATGGCAAAACTCCAAATATGGTTCAATTGTAGATTATCATATGTTAAGACAAGTGCTACATGTCAGACAGCACGCTCGAATATTTAAAACCAACAGCCTGCATAATAAAGAAATTCTCTTATTCATAAAGTATTATAACTTTTTGAAATAAAAACATGTTAGAGGGAAGTAACCTACAATAATGATCTCAAAAGATGTGTTTAGTTTCAAGTGCATTACCTCAATGGTTGTGGAGATAAATCTTGTCCGAGAAATTCTGTAAGTTAATGAATATATATTATTATTTCCTAATAAATGCTTAGCTTATGGGTCTTGAACAGTGACCTACAAGTATAAACAAAATCACATTTGAAGACTAACAATGAATGTTTATGGCTAAGGAGAAACAAACTTGCAAACAAATCCTTAACAAAAGGCTAGCACAAGTTCAACGCAAATACCGAATTGCAGGTCAGTAAATTAATTCCTTATTGTGTGCATAAAACAAATAAAAGAGATATTTCAACATTTAGACACACATGCAGAGCATTTTCTATGAAAGGTAAGATGTCTCATCACTAACCAATTAAATAAAATTGTTAATCTTTTTAATATCACTATTATAATATAAAACAAAAATGTATTTAATTTAAAGTTGACTCCCCGTTCGTAATACCCCACCCACTTTGTATATGAATTACGATCAATAAAACACAGTTATGGCATAGTTCGCTTATTCTAACTTATTCTAAATATGTGTAGATATAGTTTTAAAGCTGTATTAAACGAAATCATGAATGTGTTTTTCAGTTTAAACAAGAATAAAACTAAAAAGTTACACATTTTCAGAAAAGGACACCCAGTTTGCAACATATTTTGTCTTCTTTCGTTTAAATTAGGCGATGAAATCTAGAAAAAAAATCAATTATGTCAAAATTTATAGCATGAGTAAGTTGAAAATAAGAAATTTTATGCAAAATTTCAATTGATTTACAAAACTGTAAAAGGAAATAAGTCAACGTAAATATACTAGAATATTTAAGGATTTGGCGGCCATCTTTGACGCCATCTTGGATATCTTAGCTTCGCATCGGGGTTGGGCCAAATGAATATCCATTCAAGAAACTAAAGATCCAGACGAACATTTTGGTATATGAAACTTGCTGTTGGCTGACATAGACCACTTACCCTTCTAAATAGGCTAGTAAAATGGACTGATTTGCAGCACTATAAGTCCAAACTAGTGTACTTACAAACCCTGAAATTTCCAGTCATACATGGTAATGCCCAGTGCAGTTACGTTTCTTCATTACTATATCTTGTTTACAGTTGCTCCAGATGCAATGCACCATGTGAAGACGTACCGGGATGACCTGAAGAATATGCATGGTGTCGCACCTGAATATGGATGTTAGTGATGTTACACCTATATGAAATCAAGAGAATGGACGTTCACTTCTTAAACCTTTAATATTTCTGTTTAGAGGATTAAACTAATTAATATTTTTTCCGGATTAGATAAAAACATTTTCTTTTTAGGATTCTGGATATGTAACTCAAAAAGCTTGTATATCCATCCAGTTTGACTTCATTTATTTTATGTACTTTATTATGCAAATGAAAATATTACAAATATTGTTTAAAGTTAAAGCTTTTATAGTAAGGTAATGTACTAGAAATTGTTCGTAAATATGTTATTAAAGCTTACACAATTTTATCATCAATGCATTTTGTTTATATTTATACTAGAGGACTTTAAGAACAAATGCCTGTTTTAATTATATGGGTTTTTTACATGAAATATGAATTACGGAAGGATTCCATCAAATGTAATGTTAACATAAATATCTTTAAATTTCTGGGCACAATGTGTGGTGATCATATATTATTGTCTGAGAGTTTTATTCTTCATTTCAGCTGGAAATGTGACAACTGCTGTAGATATTTATTCATTTGGGATGTGTGCTCTAGAGGTATGATATGTACATATTTTGGGCTACTTTAACATTATTACTGACATAAGTTGCTCACATAAAATGACTGCTGTCACATTCTGCTAGAATATATGAATTCTTTCATTTTACTGAGATATCCAGCTAGCTTGCAGAAAGCTTTTGATTCTTACATGGATTTTGACAGAATTATGACCCTTTTTTGTACTTAGAAAATTTTACATTATTCATGCTCTTGATTTGCTATCAAGCACATAAAATAGCCGAGCACACTGCTGTGCAAGAGCTAATAGTGTAAAAGGCAAGGAAAATATCTTCATGACAATTGATCTTGGATGTTGAATCTAATGGAAATTGTCTCTCACTGCTGATGAGATTAGCAGTCAGTCATTTGCGAAGAAATTGGTAATTACTGGTAAGTTATTCAGGAAAACCGAATAAGTGGATCGTCCGCTGAGGTACGATCATATAATGTGTTAAAATTGGATTGAAGTTAGAAGAGAAACAAACAAGCAAGGTTAAAGGATAATTTTCCCTCATTGGTAAGAGATGGAATGTCCCAGTATGCCCAAGTACATCACTGAGTCTTTTAACTGAAACAAAGAAAAGAAAAAAAAGGAAGCTCAAGTTCACACAAAGTTTTAGATTTATAAGCTAACGAAGAAACATATCATTATATTAATTCTAAAATTTCACTCTTCAGGTATATTTTTAGACTTTCAGAAATTTTGTATTAAAAATGTATGGAGTGGCTTGTTTTATAAAAATGATAAAATAATTTTTTTGACTAGATGGCTGCCCTTAGTATCCAAGGAAACGGGGAGAGTGGAAATGTGATCACAATGGAAGCTATAGATAAAACACTTCAGTCCATAGAAAATCCACTTCAAAGAGTAAGATTCTTCTGCTTTTATGTTGATAAGTCATGGTATTAACAATTTACTCACTTATATTTATTTATGTGCAGCTTTTGCCATTCCATAAAAATGGTATTACATGGCTGTGTATATATTTTGATGTTACATGATTTGAATTTTACAAATACATGCTAAATGTTAGCGTTACACTTTAAAAATTTTTAATGCTGCAATGAAAAAGTGATATTTTCTATTTTATGTATGTGATAAATAGAATATTATATTCAAGGAGGTTCATTGCTAAATTTATTGAAATTGTTAAAATCATTCATTATTCATAGCTTGTCTGTTTAGAAGAAATAAGTGGAGCTATAATGATTGCTGCATTGTCCCTGTTGTTGTCCTTGTGTTTATTCATTGTCATGCAAAAACTTAAATGTAGACCATTATCAAAACATTTTAAAAGTTATCAAGATAAATGTTAATGTTTACTTGATTGACAATGTGCATTTGTTAGACAAGGGGCTTAATAAAGAAAGTTATATTTTTGGAGTGAATTTTTGTCAAAAGTGGTTATTTTAACAGACATGTGTAAACGTTGCATGTGGTGCCCTTGTTCACATTGAAAATAGGTCATTGGCAGCTTGTATACATATTTTTGATAAATGCAATATGTTGACATTGTTGGTAGACACCGACAAGTTTTGTGTTCATGCTTGCCAGTGTATTGTGTATTAAATAACTCACCATTGTTAGTAATTTTTATTTAAAATAGTGGAAATATCTTGTTATTTATGTTTTTCTTTGCAAGATTTTCTAGAGAAATGTTTAGAAAAAGATCCAGAGAAACGCCCTACTGCCAGAGATTTGTTATTCCATTCAGTTTTATTTGAAGTCCATTCATTAACATTACTTGCCGCCCACGCCATTGTAAATAATGGTAAGTTAATAAATATCTTTCTCAGTTTTTGCTAGTTTATATTTAAGCCCCCTAAAACAACCAATAAGCATTTCCAAAACCAAAGCAGGTAAGTCTATGACATGAATTTAGGGTTGTGAAGTATAGGTATGTTTGTTGGTAAATTGGATCCATAATATTCTAGAATTTAGAAATACTCGTAAAGTGGCGAAGAAAATTGCCAGACATATGTATTTGGAAATCATTATAAGAGTTTGTAGAATTGTTGATAATAAATCGATATTGGTTTCATCAGGGACAGGGTTTATGTTTGAACATAAGGTAGTTTTGGAATTTATCCAGCATAGAATTCAAGCTATATGTTGCCCCTGAAAAATACACCCAGACGGCTATCTTAGTATTCGCAAAAAACACCATTTACTATGATTGCAGTTTATAATAATGTATGTTTCAGTGTTTACTAATATCATTTTATGGTGGCTATCTAACTTTACTTGTAGAGGAAGACCCAGCTTAAACACTGATAGATGGGCAAACCTACAAATTACATGATTTGATTACATACTTACTTTAATAAATTTCAATGTACTGTATTGATATTTCGAATTTTAAGCTCCACTTTTTTTTGAATAAGAAAATATGAAGAGCTGTTGTCTTGACCCTCTCATTGGCATCAAAGTTTATAAACTTTGTTAAGTCCATTTTCATAGAAACTATAAACACTTTTGAATTAAAACTTGGTATACATGTTTATCATCATGAAAGAATGACATTTTAAAAGGAGGGGAGATAATTCTAAAATTATTTTTGGCCAAGTTATGCCCCTTTTATCCAACACTAAGAAAAGTGGAGTCTGCTGTCTTCTGACAGGACTTATTAGTCCCCTACCGGTTTACCGGAAGGGACTTTAGGTTTACCCTCCGTCCGTCTGTTCGTCCGTCTGTCCATCCGTCTGTCTGTCAGTCCGTCCGTCCATAAAACTGGATCCCGCGATAACTTGAAAAGTACTGAAAATATTTTTATGAAACTTGGTATATGGATAGATGGCAGTATGGAGATTATGCACGTCTTTTTCTTTTCTTCCTATGTTGAGAATTCTGGTTGCTATGGCAACACATAGACTGAAAATATGGCAAATTTTACACATAAACTGAATCCAGAGATAACTCAAAAAGTACTTGAAATATTTTTATGAAACTTGACATATGGGTAGATAGCAGTCTTGAGATTATGCATGTCTTTTCTGTTCTTCCTATTTTGAAAAAATATCAGTTGCCTTGGCAACAAATAGGCTTAAAACATGGCAAATATAACAATCTTTGTGATTAGTCAAAAAGAGCTGAAAATTTTTATGAAATTGCATCTTTAATTCAAGAGTTATCTCCTCTTTAAGAATTTTGCTTTTAAAATGTTATATTTTGGTAACAGGGATGTTTCTTATATTATTTTCTAGAGTGTCCTTCAGTCCGTCTGTCTGTCTGTTCATAAAAAACTGTTTCCTGTGATCACTTTTAAAGAACTTTTCCAACAAGTTTACTTAAAATAGAGAAAATTGAAACATTAGTGAATGGTCAATGGCCCTTCAGAATGTTGATGGGGTTCTAACCGGTAGGGGACTTATGGATTGCTTGCAATACTATGATAATTGCTTGTTTAACAAGATACTTGACCTAATTATGACTTTCATATATTGAATGTGTCAATTAATTTCAGCCAAACTTGTAGAAAATATAGCTGAAGATACACATATATTAAAATCAGAGCCAAAGAAAGTGATAGCTGAAGTAAAATACAAGGATGACCAAGAACCAACTTTAATGAAGTAGGTAGCTTTATGTTTGATTTACAGACCTTAGGTATATGGCTTTGAGTTATATAATCATGTTTGATTTACAGACCCTAGATATAAGATTAAAATTTTTTTGACCGTGTTTGATTGAGAGACCTTAGACTTTTATGATTTTGAGTTATATAACCAGTTATAGTCCCTCCTTCAATGATGTGGTTAGCAATAATATGTTGAAAGCTGTAAGCGTACTGAATGATTTATGAAATACTGGCAGGAAAAAACCACAACAACAAAACAACAACAAAAAACAAAAAAAAACAACCAAAAAAAAAAAAAAAGAGAAAAAACAAACAAAGACTGGAAGAGAAACTAAGGAGCGCTTTTGATATGAATGAAATATTGTAATAGTTGTTACAGTTGTTTTAAAACATAAAATTAAATAATTTTAATTTAATTATATTAAAAAAGTAAATACAATTGTTTGTTTGTTTTTAGATAAAGTTTGGTGATATATAATCAATATGTCCTTTGCTCTACATTCAAAACCATTTTTATCAAAAGAAAGTTGTAATTGGGGGGGGGGATAAAAAAATTTACTGCAAGTTAACATGTGCAGTATAACTCTCCCCCCCCTTCCCCCCTCCCCCCAAACACTATGAATTATGAACCAGGTATATGCCAATATCTTGCATTTTAAAGTTTTGAAATTCTTAATACTACATATATAAATTGATTCTTGCATGTATTTGTTCCTCTAAAAATAAAATTTTATTTACCTTTATTTTCAGATTTTCGCATGTGCAGGGATTAGAGCTAGAAAAATTCTTAGAAGATGTAAAGTAGGTGCAAAGTTTGCTTAAAATATTTACCCAAAATGATAATTATCTTGTTTAAAGGTGTTTTTTTCTCTCTCACTTATTTCTCTCTTAATCATTATGCATCTTTTAGTTAAGGCATTTTGCTGATAGTCAAGACTATTGAAACTGAATAGATAGGTACATGCTGCTAAAGAAGTCATAAAGCTAAAGTAATCATACTTTCCCACTGTTATCACATGATTTGCTATCTATGGCTTGTATTGTTAACTTAAATTTAATACAGGGAAGTCAAAGCCTAGGTCCGTGAAGCCGGTTCATAGGCTTTGCCTACTTTCATATTAATTGATTATTGACAAATTTATACAATTTTTTTTTCAAACTGTTGAATTTTGTATTCTTACTTGCAGGAACGGAATTTATCCACTGACTGCGTTTGACTTACCACAGCCACCACCAAATACACGTCAAAGGCCAATAACTCCAGAAACTACGGAACAGGAGAAAACCGAGACTCCGGAGCCAATGGACGTCGAGGCAAGACGTGTGACTAACATGACGTGCCAGATAAAGCGTCAACAGGATTCTTTGTCATACCATCTTGTTCTGATTCTTCGCATGGACGATAAAATGAATCGTCAACTAGAATGTGACTTCGGATCTGAAGACAATGCCTCCATTCTTGCTGAAGAGCTTGTCCATTATGGATTTATAAACGAAGTAAGAATTTGATTCTTTCTATGCCTTCAGAAAGGGGCTGGAGGCATATAGATTTGCCCTTGTCTGTCTGTCCTGCTGTGATGCTTTCTGTCTGTAGACGTTCAAAACAATGGAATATGGGGCTATCTGTGCTCAATGGATTCTATTTTTTGTTTCCCATTGAAGGTCTTCCTACATCTGCGGATGTTTCTTAATTCAAAATTTTACCATCTCATGTTTAAATGTTGAATTCTGCTTAAGCCGGTGCTAGGGGGTGTGGACGTTTGTTTGCACTTTACAGAACCGTCCATGAACAGGCTCAATAAAACTGAGCCTAAAACATTTTCAATTGTGTTGTGTTAGACTTTATTTAGGAATTTTTCCTACTTAACACTGAAGATGTGCATTTATTACATACTGAACTTCTACATACATGAATAAGTTTAGACATATTTTTAAAGTTTTATGTTCAATTATGAACCAACCTATATTGATCAACACCCCTGAGCCTGCTAACTAAATCATGCTGGTGCTTTTTTGTGAGGAAATTTGGCTATGAACAAAAGATGGGCTTATACCCATAACCTCAAACTAATTTCTACATTTTAAATTTATTTTTTATATCTAACATGCCTTTTAAAACAAAGAAATAAAACTTTGATATTTGATGTAAGAAGCATTATAAATGTATAGAAATATTTCCTTGTTTAAAAAGGTATGTTAGGTATGAAAGTTAATTTCAAAATGAAAAAGAATGCAAAGGAAGAGGTGTTCTTCTGCTTTAATAATTGTATACAGGAATTTTGGATATTTACCAATGTAATTTTTGTATTGAGAGAGCATTTTACTGTTTAAATTAAAAAAAAATGTGTACTGGATTGGAGATATGCTTTGTTATTATATTTGTTTATTTTGTATTACAGCAAGATAAAGATAATTTATCAGTCTTCCTAACGGATCATCTGCGAGATGCAACACTAGTCAATGGAATACCTGAAGACATTACCCCACCACAAGTGCCTATCACTGTTTCTTGAAACTCAGTAGCCAATCAAATACTGTCTTTCATTTAGCCATTCACATCTCTTCTGACAAGAGAACAGTCTGCAAACGACCAATCAGTATGATGTTTACTTACAGATTACTTTTGGAATATCAACTTTTATGATCTGGACATTACACATGATGCATAATCTGCCATATTAAATATATGCATGTTACAGATTAATGTGCTTATGTATAAGATTTATACGATATCATTGTTTGATATCTGATACATCCAGATGCATTTCCATATTTGAAATGTACAGTCCTCGACTGCATTTAAGCCATTGGACAGTTCAAAAGTTTGTTTCAGTCTTGACCAATCAGATGCTAGATAACATTGCTAGATGGACTGGTTGGCTAGCTTGCCTCTATGCTTTATACTTTTGACAAATATGGTAAAACAAGACACAATGTTAAACCATTGTTTGATACACTATGTGTACTTATTAATCTACAAAAGAACAGACATGAAAACAAAAGCATGTTACATACCTTCTGATATGCTATGTTTGAAAATATGAATCTACATAAGGATTGATATTCTCAAAAATGTTTTCTGATTATGTTCAAAGTCGTATGTATAACAATGAATAAAGATCTGTTAAAAAGGATGAATGAAGTTGTTGCAGATATGATGTATTTCCTACAATCTTTTAGTAAAATCACACGCAAAAATCACATCAGTTTGATTTGATATAATGTCATGTTTTGTATATTGACAAGAAGACTTGGTTACATGTATGTAATTTTTCTGAACAGTTTAATTGTTGTTTCATTTTTCCTGAAAAAGATATGTTTTTAGCTCATCTGAGCATATGCTCAGGGTGAGCTATTAGGATCACTCTTCGTCCGTCGTCCGTCGTATGTCGTACGTCGTCCGTTGTCCGTTCACACTTTTCAAATGACATCTCCTCTGAAACCATAAGGCAGATCATAATGAAACTTCACAGGGATGTTCCTTGTGTGAAGCCTTAACAAAGTTGTTCAAAGAATTCCATTCCATGCAGAACTCTGGTTGCCATGGCAACCAAAAGAAAAAACTTTAAACATCTTCTTCTAAAAAACCCAAAGAGCTAGAGCTTAGATATTTGGCATGAAACATCTTCTAGTGAGTGTCTACCAAGATTGTTCAAATAAAAGCCCTGGGGTCAAAATTGACCCCGCCCCAGGGGGTCATTGATTTTCTCTATATGCATATAGTAAAAACTTTAAAAATCTTCTTTTAAAGAACCCAAAGAGCTAGACCTAAGATATTAAGCATGAAACATCTTCTAATGAGTGTCTACCAAGATTGTTCAAATCAAAGCCCTAGAGTCAAAATTGGCCCTGCCCCAGGGGGTCATTGATTTTCCCTATATGCATATAGTAAAAACTTAAAAAAATCTTCTTCTAAAAAACCCAAAGAGCTAGAGCTTAGATATTTGGCATGAAACATGTTCTAATGGATGTCTACCAAGTTTGTTCAAATAAAAGCCCTGGGGTCAAAATTGGCCCCGCTCCAGGGGGTCATTGATTTTCCTTATATGCATACAGTAAAAACTTTAAAAATTTTCTCTTAAAGAACCCAAAGAGCTAGAGCTAAGATATTAAGCATGAAACATCTTCTAATCAGTGTCTACCAAGTTTGTTCAAATAAAAGCCCTGGGATCAAAATTAGCCCCGCCCCAGTGGGTCATTGATTTTCCCTATATGCATATAGTAAAAACTTAAAAAAAATTCTTTTAAAGAACCCGAAGAGCTAGAGCTAAGATATTTAGCATGAAAGATCTTCTAATGAGTGTCTACCAAGTTTGTTCAAATAAAAGCCCTGGGGTCAAAATTGGCCCAGCCCCAGGGGTCATTGATTTTCCCTATATACATGTAGTAAAAACTTAAAAAATCTTCTTTTAAAGAACCCAAAGAGCTAGAGCTAAGATATTAAGCATGACACATCTTCTAATGGGTGTCTACCAAATTTGTTCAAATAAAAGCCCTGGGGTCAAAATTGGCCCCGCCCCAGGGGTCATTGATTTTCCCTATATACATAGAGTAAAAACTTAAAAATCTTCATTTAAAGAACCCTAAGAGCTAGAGCTAAGATATTTAGCATGAAACATGTTCTAATGGATGTTTACCAAGTTTGTTCAAATAAAAGCCCTGGGGTCAAAATTGGCCCCGCCCCAGGGGTCATTGATTTTCCCTATATACATAGAGTAAAAACTTAAAAATCTTCTATTAAAGAACCCTAAGAGCTAGAGCTAAGATATTTAGCATGAAACATGTTCCAATGGATGTTTACCAAGTTTGTTCAAATAAAAGCCCTTGGGTCAAAATTGGCCCCGCCCTAGGGGGTCATTGATTTTTCCTATATTGCATATAGTAATTAAAAACTTAAAAATCTTCTTTTAAAGAACCCAAAGAGCTAGAGCTAAGATATTTAGCATGAAACATGCTCTAATGGGTGTCTACCAAGTTTTTTTCAAATAAAAGCCCTTGGGTTAAAATTGGCCCTGCCAGGGGGAGGGGGGGGGCAAAAGTCATTGTTTTTCATTATTTGTGTATAGTAAAAACTTAACAACATGAAACATCTTCTAATGGGTGTCTTCCAAGTTTGTTCAAGTAAAAGCCCTTTGGTTTTAACTGGCCCCGCCCTGGGGGCCTATGTACAGGTGAGCGACCCCAGGGCCATCATGGCCCTCTTGTTATTGACTTCATGACAAATGATCTTAGTATGGAATATTCCAATTTGTGAATGTAGAAAATTCCTGCGTTATCCAGAATCATTGAACAGTAAAGGGGGCTGTGTGACCAGCATCTCTTGTTCTGTTTTTGTTAACTTATAAACAGAGTGTGATAAATAATGATTTACTAAGACCGACCCCTCCCCATAAAATTGAGAGATTACATTTAGGTAGGACACTGAAATAGAGATATAGCCAGGTACATAATTATTTTGTTCTGGCATTAAACTTGCAATGTTATTGTTAAATCAACTGTGGCCATATTAATTAAACTATATAAATTTAAAGGAAAAAAAGTTTTGCATGAAATTATAAAACTGATAATAGTTTTTAATGTGTTAAGTGTCGAGTATTCAAACACGCTTAACGCTATTCCACTATTTATCACACAGGGTCATGAAATGCATGGTTAAACTATATATGCACAGCAAATGACGTCAAATATGAACTTCATTCAGGACCAGGTGTGATTTAGTTGAAAACTTGATTTGCTTGAATGATGCCATATCTTTCATATAAAATGTTATTTTTTTCTGTCTCTAACAATGTGCATATATGATATATATTCACATAAGAAAGGTTAGTGTGTATTTAACTAGGAAGTAGTTTGAATCATAAAAAACAATTATGTATTAGTAGTACTTTTATTACAGTATTAGTTAGTCATGTATTTTTCTTACATGTATGTAATTATTTTGTTTGTAAAGTTTTTATTTCCTTTTGTGAAATATATTATATTTTGTTATTATACCCCCACCACAAAAATGTGGGGGGGGGGGGCTATAATGGATTCGCTTTGTCGCGTCGGTCGGTCGGTCCGTCCGTCCGTCTGTCGATCCATCCGTCTCCATTTTCGTGTCCGCTCTATAACTCCTATACCAATTGAAGGATTTTCTTCAAACTTGGCTCAAATGTTCACCTCAACAAGGGGATGTGCAGAACCCATATTGCCCATGTGTCAGTTCAAGGTCAAGGTCACAATTGAAGGTCAAATATCAAACACAATCAAATATTACACAGTATGTCGTGTCCGCTCTGTAAGTCCTACACTACTTGAAAGATTTTCTTCAAACTTGGCTCAAATGTTCACCTCAACCAGGGGATGTGCAGAACTTATGTCGCCCATGTGTCAGCTCAAGGTCAAGGTCACAATTGAAGGTCAAATATCAAACAATTAAATATTACACAGTATGTCGTGTCCGCTCTGTAAGTCCTACACTACTTGAAAGATTTTCTTCAAATTTGGCTCAAATGTTCACCTCAACAAGGGGATGTGCAGAACCCATGTTGCCCATGTGCCAGCTCAAGGTCAAGGTCACAATTGAAGGTCAAATATCACACAATCAAATATTACACAGAATGTTGTGTCTGCTCTGTAAGTCCTAAACTAATTGAAAGATTTTCTTCAAACTTGGCTCAAATATTCACCTCAACAAGGGGATGTGCAGAATCCATTTTGCCCATGTGTCAGCTCAAGGTCAAGGTCACAATTGAAGGTCAAATATCAAACAATCTAATATTACACAGTATGTCATGTCTGCTCTGTAAGTCCTACACTAATTGAAATATTTTCTTCAATCTTGGCTCAAATGTTCATCTCAACCAGGGGATGTGCAGAACTTATGTCACTCTTTTGCTTGCTTAAGGTCAAGGTCACACTTTAAGGTCAAAAATTGACTTAGAAAATAGTCTTAAATTTTAATATTTATTTGAATATTTCTAAATCTAGAAAAGGTATTTGCTTGAAAATTAAAATATTTTTGAAGGGTCACAATTCTGATATGCTGTTCGTTCAAGTTTCATAACTCTGTATTGCATTTTACCAAAGTTATGCCCCTTTTTAAGTCTTCAAATTTACATACAATCAAATATTAGACAATATGTTGTGTCCGCTCTATAAATCCTATACTAATGGAAGAATTTTCTTCAAACTTTACTCAAATTTTCACCTCAACAAGGTTATGTGCAGAATCCATGTCACCTTTGTGCCAGCTAAAGGTCAAGGTCACACTTGAAAGTCAAAAATTGACTTAGAAAATGTTCTTACATTTTAACATGTACTTGAATAATTCTGAAACTAGCGCAGGCAAATGCTTGAAACTTAAAAGATATATGAGGTGTGGCAAATAAGATATGCAGGTCAAGTTTCATTACTCTGTATTGCATTTTGACAAAGCTATGCCCCTTTTTAAGTCTTCAAATTTACATACAACCAATACTAGACAATATATTGTGTCTACTCTATAAATTCTATACTAATGGAAGAATTTTCTTCAAACTTTACTCAAATGTTCAACCAAACTGGGTGATGTGCAAAACCCATCTTACCCTTGTGCCAGATTAAGGTCAAGGCCACACTTGAAGGTCAAAAATTGGCTTATAAATAAAATGTTTAATACATTGGGAAAATGAAAGGTTATTTGTAACTGTTTCGAACATGATTTGATAATATATATTTATACTATTACCTGTACAATTTGTCTTTTTTTCACCAGAGATAATTTCTTTTTATGTATTTGTGCCACATAAGTTATTCCCTTAACCACCTTTCCAAGTGGTCATCTGTCAAGGACATTGGTGGGTGTATGAATCGCATTCAGCGATAGTTCTAGTTATTACTGTAGTCCAGCATACATTGCATGAAAATTTTCTTTTCATAGATGATTTAAATAAGTTCACTGTTTCTTTTCATCGATGATTTGAATAAGTTCACTGTATGAATTAGTTTTAATTGATTTTGATAATTAGAGTGAAGATTTTCAAGGCTTAAGACATTACTTGTAAAGTTTTTTTTATGTTATTCTCAAATAATTTCAATAATCATACTCTTTAACCATTTCAAGATTGCCAAAGTCATTTTAATAATTAGCCTTGTATAGAGTTGAAATATC